GGGGTCCATTTTTAGAAAGTATTCTAAAATGGTCTCTGAGAAAGTACAACATTTTTAAATCATTCTTGCTTTAAAGACTGAGTTTGAGATGTTGTATTTTTTTATTTTATAGGAGTGTGGACTAACGAGTTAGAATGGTTGGATTGAAATAAGGGTAAAATAGTGTTTCAGTCATCCAGTCAATATAGTGAAAATTATGTATTGGTAAAATATGAATCATGTTATTATTATATGAATCATGTCATTGTCATATGAACATTATAATGTTGTAGACCCTAGCAAAAAAAGCATGATGATCATCAAATCTTTCATGGTATTTTGAGGAAAGATTTGAACATCAGAAAAAATAGTAATTGTTACAAACATTTCTGATTTCCAAAACACATTTTTTACCATTGTACCGTACATGTTATACTTGTCATATTAGATATATATGGTACTGTAAAATAATAAAGAAAAAACATGTAAATAGTCAGATTGAGTCATTTTCTTCAATCAATTATTTTGATGGGATTAATTATTGCATTTTTGTCACCATCACAAGTGGTGAGTGGTGACATATTGTTATAGTCTCAACTTTTTTGGGGATGGTGTTGGGAGATCGGAGTTTGATGTAACAAATGGCAGGTTGTGACATTTTTGCATGTTATAATACCTTACTAGGGTTATGCCAGTTGTATACATGTCATGTAGTGAATTAATCTTTTAATATTGTTTATGAGTAGCATCCCCACATATATGTTAATGAAATTGCTAATAATTCACTTGTGTTTTACAAACAGTACAGTAAATGTAAGGGGGGGGGGGTAACCACCCATCTTACTGAGACCCTATCTTCTTCAAGAGATGAACTTCTATTTTATTGGTCTCCTTATTTAAGGCAATTTCATATGTTCAGCAATTTGAATTGCTTCCTAATTGGAGTCCAATCATTTTAAAGAACACAAACCTCATACCTTCCATGTCTACTTTTTTTGTTATTCACAGAGTACAGAAATATACCTAGATTAGTAGTTAAGGTGTTTTGATTTTTTCTACTATAAATGATATTTAGGAAATAAATTCAGTGACTTACTTTTTAAAAGTACAAAAATCTAGGTCCCTGATTTTTCCTCCTTTTTTATATGTCCAAAACATTTATTACTAACCTTCAACTGATAATCTATGTATATTTGTGCATTTTTAGAGCAAAACTGAAAATTGTATGCCATATAAGGAATGAGTTGTATATATACATGATATATACCTACCTGAAAATAACACGGGACTTCTGCCATTAAAATTTCTGAACATACAAAACTACCTTAATTAGAGTCTAAAACATGAATAACCCTGGCTATTGGCCTAAGACCTGCTCAACATGTTCGTTGAAAGTTAAAGAAGTTTCATTACAAAGAAATTAAAAATTGATAAAGGGAATTAGGGGATCCACTTTTTACTTGTACTTTTCACCAGAATATTAACTTACTCTACATTCAGCTTTCGCTCACATATTTTCACCAAAATTATAATTCGTTAACAAATCCAGCAATGTTTTATTTGAAGTGTCTGAATATGTTGCTTTGATACAAGTAGGTTAAAATGATTGGTTGATATGAATTGATCAATAAACGGGGAGTATTTTCATCAGAGATGTAAACAAAACACTGTGACCTCTGCTACGCACCTTTAATAATAAACATTCAAAACATCTGCAACCAAACACTTCCTCTAACCCACATCCCGAATAACCACAAGTATACATAAATATGGAAGAAAGTTGAATATTCATACGCAGCAGCAATGTTTTTAACAGTTCACCTGATTAATTGTGAAACCGAAAAATGATCCCTGTGTGAGGTTTTGTTGTAAATGAAGCTTCTCTTTGGGAACTACAGTAAAACCTGTCTTAGTGAACACCTCTCTCGGTCTCTCCATTGGACACCTTGGTCTAGTGAACACCTCTTGGCAGCACATACTCCACTGACTTCTGTATATAAAAACCTCTGTAGTGAACACCTTCCTACAGTGAACACATTTTTGTGGCTTTATAGGTGTTCACTGTACACAGGTTTTACTGTTTATAGTTTATGACCTATTGCAATGACCTGACATCTATTGACTTATCCTCGGAGACACACCTTCAGAATATATTATGTGATAAGTAGATTAACTTATTGTTCTCTTTCAAAATGAATGTTATTGTGTAACAACTGGTTTATCTTATACACTGTTAGTTGGTATCAGGCATGTAAACATCATGGGTTACAAACATGATTTCAAATTGATCTCTGAGGTTCTTTACAGTTATATCCAAATAAATAATACAATCCCGGATTCAGGAACACAAAAATCCCAAAAGGACACTTATTTCGACCTTTAAAATGACATAACCTCTAAATGTAACATTGACTTTTGATGGCCTAATATAACTGTTTCATTGGTCTATGACCGACATAAGCTCAGTTATGAACTATGGCTCATTTCCTCATCATCAAAACCTCCTAAGACTCGCGCAAAATTCAAACTGCATTTGAAATATTTTGGCATTGACCTTGCAGTTGATATTAACCTAGGAAAGTGACCTTAACCTTCTGACACCACGACAACTATTTCCCCAAATTTACATTTCCCTGTTTGGACACCATGCCATCTCTCTAATAAGATATTCCAAATCTAATAACCATGTTGTATTCATAATTCAATTGTTCAATGTCCACAAATTTATTACGAAGGCATAGGCTGTATCTAGTTCTAGACCATTCAATAAATTAACAATGAATGTTGTATTTACATTCGTAGACTTTTAAATCTCAAACATTTCATGGGGAGTAAGTTTAATTGATAGCAAATCCATCTATGATTCATGTTTAAACCAGTAATGACATCTTTTTTTTTTTATAATAACCATTCATGATCATTTAACTGCTTTTCTGTTATATATTTCCAATAGATGGCACAACTTCCCAAACATACATTCTAATTTTATACTTACTAGTATGCTCAATATCTGCATTATAGAGATCAATCTCAAATAAATATTGGTTTCATGGACAAATATACAATTCCTGTGTTACAGAACAGACTGACAGTACATGTTACTTTTGTTTCAATGATATGACCAACAAGATTAAAGGGTGAAATTCCAATATGGAGAATACCTTGTCTATATCAGGATCAGGCTTACTTATCAATGCAGGTCATTGAAAATACACATCAATATCAGGCCAATCTTATCTTATCTTATCTTATCTGGAACACAAAAAGTAAACAAAAAATTACTAATGTTTTTAAATCATCAATCTTAACTGATTATTGTTCATGTACATGTTATCTTTCTATATTCAACTTGAATCTTAACTGATTATTGTGTTTGGCCTGTTGACTGTTGTATAGATGGCAGACAAGGTTTGTTTCAAACTTCCTCCTTGGTTCTTGATTTTTGATCCACATGAAATTGGTTATGATCTGTCATCATCATTTTTCCATGGATTAATGATGAAATCATGTGGATCAAATATTAAGGACCTATGTATCAGCTTAAAAAAATCTTATCTGCCATCTAACGACCAACATTTTTAATGGCATATTTTTTTTTTCTGTGTGTAATTTTTCATCGAAACAACATTGATTTGCACAGGTATTTACCTTTATTATCCCAATGAATGAAGTTTGGTTGGGATATAGTCATAGTGAAGCCCTCCATCCATCCGTCTGTCCGTCCGGAAGATAACTCGAATACTAGTGGATGGATTTTGTTCATATTTAGTGGAAAGATTTATATTGGTTAATAGTTGTATGCAACAAAAAAATTCCAAGGTGGCCACCGCTTTAAAAATGGTGGGAATTTTTCGTGAAAATCTTAGGTTATTCATTTTAAACCAAAAAATAAATGTTTCTGTTTGAAATTTTGTTAGTATATTCATAATATCTATCTATCTCATATATATTCTGAGTTTTTCACCATGACCCCTAGGGTGGGGGATCGGGAAAATGGGAATTCACGTTAATTTTGAGATCTTTCTAAAGTATAGCTTAATTATACTCAAATAAAAGACAATTTAGAGTAGATTGCAAATATTTTATCTGTTTTGTAATTCCGGCCTCGTAAAATTCAAAATGGCTGCCTTATGTGAGATTTCACAATCATTTTCTGATCTCTAAAGTATGGCTTTATTATACTCAAATAAAAGGCAATTTAAAGTAGATTGCAAATAGTGTATCGGTTTTGTAATTAGGGCCTCGTATAACTCAAAATGGCTCATTTTCTAGTTCTAATTCAAAGAGTGCTTTAAAGATTAAGCACTCTTAAAATTATATTAATTATCAATGCATTATACATTTTACAAGATATGCATGATGACCATAGTGAACAGAAGCACCCCCTCCCCACCTTATATTGTGATTTATTTACAGAGTATCTGTTATCTGTATTGGAGAACTTCCCATTATCCGTGTGCATGGCTGGGGTGCATGGCATATTCAATACTATACATCTACCCCTGCTGTTGATAGCCGGTACAAACACTCAGGCGGTCACTATTCAGAATAAAAATCTTGGAAGAAATGCAAATCCCTGAAAACAATAAAAGGTATTGTTTTATATGTCTCTGATATAATGCAATGATATTTGCTTTATTTGTTATGTTTGCTTTATCCAACTTGAACAAAAATATCTACACAAAATTTAAAATATATATCTGCTTTAAATGGTCTTATTTCAAAACAGATATAGATTAGAACCCACCGTCAATCACTTCAAAATTACATCAACACAGGCCACGTGCTATAAACAATTGTAAACAAACTGTTCCCATGTAACTATTCAAGGGGTCTTTATATTAAAATACGTATAAATCTAGATTAAAATGTTTTATTGGAAGGTTTGACACAGTTCTGCCAAAATTTAGACGACATGATATTGTTTTTTTCAATCTCTGACAATTTAAATAGTGAATGAGAGTCATAACATATGATTAACCCGATAAATAGAAAAACACGAAAAATATTCCGCGAAAAGGGATCCACATGTCTTTGTTTACATCAATACGTCATCTAGTAACGCTGCAAGTATTAGCCAATCAGAGCGTCGTTATTTCTATTTATTCTCGTTTTGATTGTCGCTATACTGAATGACCTAAATCAAGTTCATTCTATCAGATTATTTCTTGCAACCAGAGAGGGAGCATTGTCATCGCATTTCTCCTGATTTTAATATTTTGATTCTAAGGAAGGATTATATTAAGTTGAATTTTGGCATCAGAGTCTGAGTTTTCAAGTATTTCATCGAAGATAAGCATTGAACTGGGTTGTCAAAGTTGACAAGTCAGTTGAACAATATTTGGAAGTTTCTTCAATTATTGGTGAGTAACATTTATACATTTGTATAAGGCAGTTTTGCAGTTTGGAAGTTTTTGAAATCCAAATGATAGTGTGATGTCTGACAGAAGAACAATATTACCATATAACTCCACTGTGAATACTGTAAAAAATCTACATGTCATACATGCATAAAATGGGCAATTGCCACACATTTAATTTGTTGACATTTCTAAAATCATAATAAAAATCAGACAGTCAAGTTTCACATGTTTCAAATAGGTTATCCTTTACATTTTAGACATCAAAACAGTCAAGACGAAGTACCCACAGACTTATTCAATGACGAAGGGGAGACAGCCCGTCATTACACGGGACACTCTGGCCCTGAAGTTCCGTCAAAACTGGATAGCAAAACATCCTGAAGCCACAATGGAAAAGACAGAAAAAGAAGGACAGCTGGATGACAGTCTTACAAGTCTTAATTGGCTACAAAATTTGAACATCATGAAGATAACAAATCCGACACCTCCTCCAAGTCCAGAACCTCAAAACTTTTCAAAAGATACCAAAGTCAACCCAAACTCTGTTCTCAATGTATCAGGGGTACCCATGGTGAGACAAGACTATAAAACCTTTATGGGTGATTTAGCTCCATTGACTGCTTCACCTTTAGAGAAAATAGACTACAAAACCAACCCATATGTCAAACCACCATATTCATATGCCACTCTCATATGTATGGCTATGAAAGAAACCAGAAAGACAAAAATTACCTTAGCATCAATATACAATTGGATCACAGAGAACTTCATGTACTACAGAATGGCAGATCCCAGCTGGCAGGTAATAATAATTATTAATTCTAATAAAAAGTAAAGTACACCTGAGGATGAAACAAAGTCAGAAATTATACATGAATCATCCTATATTATCTAGTTCCAAAGGTCTTGCAACTAGATAAATCCTATATCAATGTTGATGACATGCATCAGTGAGGCTATATAGCTATATTATTGTTGTTTTTCTAAATAATTGCATTTTTCGCATTTATATTTAGTTCACATTTTACATATAGGTGTTCATATTGGTGTTTCACTTTGATGAATGAAATACTGATTCCAAAAGTGCCAGTTTGATAAATGATAATCCATATTTGAGTGAACAACGTACACCATGTATAATTTTATCAGAGTAATAACAGTAAATCTTATCCTTGAGTGATTTATCATTATCAGTACTGTACATTACTTTTATCAAGATATGAGACAATATGGTACTATTCTTCAGAAAATTAAATGGGTTCAATATATTAAAGGGTGAATAAATTTATAATAATAATTTATTTGTAACACTCTCTGACACTTCTTCTAAATGGGTGCAATTATCATGTAATTAGTGAATGAGTGTACAAGTATACGTACAAGAATTGCAAATATCAAATTATCACCTCAATTTTTAATGATGTTCATTTGTATCACTCATTTGAGAGTTTGATTACAGTTTGACACAATCTGATATAGAACATACATAGTTATAAGGTTTAACATTTTTTATGTTTCAGTTTTTTATAAAATAAAAATGTTCATTGATTATTTATAAATAGACTTTTAGAGCAATGAATAACAGAATTCATACTTTCCATAGTATTGTATAAGTATTATGCCCTATAATTGTCTTAAGTTTTATTCATTAAGTTTTTCTAATAACAGCATTAACAGATATACTAATGAACTTAAAGTAATTCATGAATGGAATTTTTTGATTTGCATAATGAAATTATAAACATAGTGTATATGATAAAGACACCCCTCGTGCCATAAGTTCTAATCTGAGGATAATACCAAGGTAACTTGGTAACCCCCTCCTTGCCTCAAGCCAATATTTCACTAAACCCACGTCACATAAATTTAAATACCTCTTGTTTAAATACAGTTATATTATCAAACAACATAATCTGATGTCTACAATACTATTGTTCAAACAGTTCCAAAGTTCAAGTGATTAAAGAGAAGGTGCAGTTTCATGTACCTTTGCTTGTACTTCAACTACTCCACTATTATCTATCAACTGCACCTAGTTGCCATGTTGTCAAATATTTTAACATGCTTCTTGTACCAATGAATTCATGAATTAATCAGATGATGGGAATATTTTGTGTAATCGCAATTAACATGAACTTATAATAAAGATTAAGAAAAATTTACTTGTATCTAATCTAAACTGGCCAGGTCATTACCATTTGATACTGTACTGGTACAACAGTTTTGAGTTCATCAACAGTAAACTCTATGTCTTTAACTTTCATTTCCTGTTATATCACATGGTTCCAAGAATATTTTATAAAATCATTTTTCTCCTTGAACCATTTAGGAATCCAAAACTGAAATATTCAATTTCTATATTTTCAGAATTCTATCCGCCACAATCTCTCGCTGAATAAGTGTTTCCAAAAAGTCCCACGCCGTAAGGACGAGCCAGGAAAAGGAGGATTCTGGAGGATAAACCCAGAATATAATGACATGTTGGAAAATGGTGTTTTTAAGAAACGTCGTGCAAGTTCAGCCCGAGAGATGACCAGTTGTCCAATTCCATTAAAAAGAATAAAACAGGAAATTGAGGATCATTCCTACGACGGCAGCCATAATTCCCAAGATGCAAAACAAGCATATACCCGGTCAAAATCCTATCATTTTGGTGCTGAAGAAGATTCGCTTAATGGTGCCCTGAAGGGCGATTTCAGCTGGAGCTCAATACTACACCAAGACATTATGGTCAATGGAGTAAAAATTAAGACTGAAAACATAATTGATGACTCCGAACTTGCTGACTCTGCCAGCAACGTCATGGCAATGAGCCCGCCATCTAGTGTACACTCAGATCTCGGTATTGATGATCTCCTCAGTTCTGATCTCCAGAATGATTTATTTGATGGCCAAATAGACTCAAGTAGCGAAGATTCAAACCAGGCATTAGACTTAACTGTTTCTGGTCAATCTATCAGGGCTCCAGAATGGTGGAATGAGAGCATGACCCGAGACTTGTTAAACTGTGAGAATAACCGCAGTGGATTACATACCCCTATTGCCCCATCCCCTACCCCCACCGCAGTTGAGAACCACCCCTGGGCTGTAGACAACAGACTGGATCTTGACCAAGCAATTGCAGCATTCGACATTGATAACTTATTCGATCTAGGGAACATTCCTTCACCTGATGTTCAATAGATCTCGTAAATTATAAATTCAATATAGATATTTTTTTATAGAATACCTTCACTTTATTGATTGTTCCCAATGTAAAGGTATTTCCGTTCGTATTACATTAGTCCATAGTACATGTTGGGTGAGGTTTATACAGTGAGATTACAGTGATCAATATTGAGCCAAGCGGAATCAATGAAGAGTATTGTAATTCTTTCACCCAAGTACAGGTTGCTAATATATTTACAGCACTGGCAAACAACACATGAAAGGCTTCACCATTCACTCTTTTGCATCGATGTCTCTTAAATCAATTTGGATTCCTTAAGGTGCCCCGGTATCTCCCTTGAAAAGTGGATGTAGGGTTTATTTGGTGGTTATGTTGACAGATAAACTTACAGGGCCCATTTATATATAGATTTACCTCTATGCAGCTGATATTATGTTGAATCAAGTTTTACGCCACATCCAGGTAATAAACGCTAGAGTAATGCTAGGTTTAGATCAATATCACATAGAGTCTAAGTACAGTAAATTACCAATTACTGTATAACTTTTAATCAAAATCAATGCCATCGTTTGAGAATGCGTGTACTACTCATTTCTCAAATTCTAGAATTTTATTGTAACTCACAATATATTAAAAAAAATTTTAATTGGAGCAATTTAATACAAAAATGTTAAAGAAAATTATGCTTTGAAAATAATGCATCACATGAAAATGACAGGTTTTATGGTAAATTGCTTTTACTTATTAGGAACTTTGGCTTTCTATTCTTGGGACATTATTAATTTGGTAGGCAGTTAATTATTATCAATATACTAATATTATATTAAATATGATGCTATCTACCTCTCACTATTTTCAAATCATAAGCTTAGATTTTGACCCAATCTGGCATTTACATGTATTATGAATGATAGGTGTTTCGTTTGAAATATTTATCATGTCCTACATGCTCAAAAAGTTAATTTGATAACATTTAGGATAGGATAAAAAAGTCATTTACCTTTTGACTATCAACTTGTGTGTTTACAAAATATTTTTGATTGAATATGATTTGACCTCATGTATTGCATTGCTTGTTTGTCATGCATTGTATTTTGTGTAGAAAGACTCAAAGCACTCTTTTCAGGAATCGTAAAGGTTTGGAATCTGACATACAGCACGTAAACATAATATTTCATTGTAAGAGACGGATCACTTGATGCAATATTTTCTATATTTTCTATCGCCTCACTTCAATAGAGAACTGGAGAACAACATTTTGTATTTATATTTCATATTTACCTGAAATATTGATTTTCTCCTGGCTTTACCTGTACACTAGAATACCTGTAACGAGTTTCTGAATGTATGATCAATAGTTACCTGAATGGATAAGTGAGGCTAATGTAAGAAGTCTACAAAGGAAATTCATTCTTTTAAAGGGTGGATTTGTTTCTCTTTTGTGATAAGATAAGATTGATGTATGCACTGTTGTTTTTCTTTTAAAATATCAGATAATTAAAGTCAATTTGGTGTGATATATTATCACATTTTGTAAGTTTAATGTGATATATTATATTATCACATTTAAAAAATTAGTGTGATGACATGTTCTCACATTTTCATAATTTATTCTCAATTCCCAGTGTGATTTTAAGCATTGATACAAACTAAACATATTCATGAAACAAGATTTGAAATAACATTTCATTGTAAAACAAGCCCAACATGTACATGGCAACGGTATGGAACAGTTACTTTAAAAATATTTTTTTATAATTATCAATGCTGAAATTCAGACATTGTAGAAGTTCGGAAGCATATAGGATATATCATATTATGCTCTCAGGACTCGGATACATTTATATTGAGGTCAAATCCATTTGCCAAAAGTATTTTGCTGGTTCGAAATATTTTTATCCAAAATGGAAATTGATGTAAAATTGTGACACCATGGTAAAATTGTGACACAACGTTGTATTTTGTCTCTTGACACCATTTTTAGAATTGAGGGAATTAGTGGTATTTATCACATATCAGTTTTGTGTAAATAGAATGGTGTATTTAGTTGAGAAAATATTAAAAAGGCGGGTCCTTTTTGAGTTACTCATTAGAGGGATTGGGAATAAGATATATTTGGGTTAATTTGAACTTCTTAACCGTGCAATACAAAGATTTGCGTTAAGGTTAAAACCTTTGGTGTTTTAGAACTTAGACTTAACAAAACAAAAATCTTTTGAAAATTTTTTGATGATTTCAAACCTATGTAAAGTTCTTATTGGTTTAGGGGTAAAGGTAATGACATATAACATGTCTGCATATATACACTTGTGATATATACACTTGTGATATATACACTTGTATGATATATACACTTGTATGATATATACACTTGTGATATATACACTTGTGGTATATACACTTGTGGTATATACACTTGTATGATATATACACTTGTGATATGTACACTTGTGATATGTACACTTGTGATATATACACTTGTATGATATATACACTTGTATGATATATACACTTGTGATATATACACTTGTGGTATATACACTATGAAATATACACTTGTGATATGTACACTTGTGATATGTACACTTGTGATATGTACACTTGTGATATATACACTTGTATGATATATATACTTGTATGATATATACAAAATCACTCAATACAAAAGTATTATTTAAAAAAGTTTACAATGAAATCCGTCCATGAATCGAATTGTACATTTTTTGTTTTTTCTTACATATACTGGCAATGTAATGTAACACACAGGTCCTTATTTATGTTGTTTTTGCCTTCTTTGTTTTTTTACTCACACATATCTTGTGTACTCTTTTAGGCTTTTTGTTATTATAGCATTATTGTAAGAGTTGTGCAGTATATGAATAAATAAAAATAAAATAAATGAACATATGAAATATATCTAAATTTGTCATGTCTGTAGATACTGGTATATTTGTGAAGGACCAATACAAATCATTGAGTTACTATTCTGCAGTAGTACTACATAGCAAGAGTATTTGTCACATCCAACTCCATTATTTTTTCATCAAGTCTGAGGAATATGTTTCATTTCTTCAGGCAATCCCAAGTCCATATGTGGGGAATATGAGCCTTGAGGGACGACCTGACAGACAAAACAATGTTCCATTGCTAGTTGGAACCCAAGGTTCTTCCTCACTAAAAGGCCTATGGGTACATTTTTTTAAGCTTCAATTTTTTAACCTTGCAATAAAGAAAATCGAGAATACATCAACATTCAAAATCTGACATAAATACAGAGAGGGTTAAACTTAACTTAAAAGAAATCAAAATGTCTCTTTTGAACCCTTTCTCCTTCGTGACACAAGTAACCACAGTGTGGGAGGGTATGGTTCATTGTAAAGCACAACCCTGGAGAATTTTGTCAAAACGGAAATGTGGACTTAATAAATGAATGGATCGTTTCTATTTTTGGCATTTCTTGGATGTGTAATCGACTAGGTAGAATTTTCTGAAAATAGTGCTGCATTCCAAGCCGCCAATAAGCTTGAGAAAATATATGATTGCAATCGACACTAAATTAGGATAAGTCTTCAGAAGCTGCTTGGCAGGATACAATGACTATTATAGGATAGACCACATGTCTTTGAATTCAATAGTACCATGATTTTATGATAATATAATACCACCACAGGCTTCCAAAATCCAATCTCAATCCAATACTATATGCTTATATTGCCTAATTGATGAAGAGACATATTGCACTGTATTATATGTCTTGGTTTGCAAGATGTATTGTTATGTCATATACTGTAATACAGTACTACCTGTATAACTGGACAATTATCTGATCTGAACATCTTTCAATGTAAACATTAATCTTACATAAAATTCAATGTTAACAATCTCAACATGCAAACACCTGCAAATCTGAACATTTTTGGTCAGTCCCAGTGACATTTGGATCAAAAGGGTTTAACTGTACATACATATACATTCAATCAATTGACATATACATTCAATCAACTGACATATACATTCAATCAGTCGACATATACATTCAATCAATTGACATATACATTCAATCAATCGACATATACATTCAATCAATTGACAAAAGAGCCTGGTCATTTATCAAGATAAAAAAGTAATTCCCTATTTCCCACCAAGAATCTGAGTTTATCTCAGATAATCCATTCTTGCCCTGATTGCTGAGATATTGGACAATGCACTAATTAACCTGACTTTTAATTAATTAATAGAGATAAGAGGGATGCATCCAATTAATTACTTTCTCATTATCATATGTATTCTTGACTTCTGGGCCATAATTCTCGATTATAGCGATTGATCATTTTGTTTACATCCTTGATCAGTGATTGATCATTTTGTTTATAGTAAATGTAATCATGCACAAAGTCAGGAAGATGAACCGGATATTGGTCCATTGGTCCATTCATCTCAACTAAATTCTCCTTTCAACACCCTAATGCAAGATAATATCAAGTGAGGTTTTGGATACAAGATTTATCCCATGAGAAATTCATAGATTTCTTCATTGATCATTGGAATCAAGTGATTCATTTATTTCCCACCGGAAATCCAGCAGAATTTGAGATTAATTGAAATGCATGCTTTAATCTATCATTTTCAATTAATTATATTGTATACATGTCTATTCCAAATGCAACTGGCACCATCTAAGTGTTCAGATTGTCAAGTGTTCACATTTCAAGGTTGCAAATCTATGGCAGATTCAAAAATGTTACAGAGAAAAGTGTTCACATTTGAGAATTGTTCATATAGAGAGGTGATAAGGTATCCAAGTTTCATTGTTTGTTTTATATAGAGTGGTGATAAGATATCCAAGTTTTACTGTTTGTTTTTATATGCGTGTTTTACACATGAGCTATTTAATGAGAATTCATAATCCAGGTACTCCAATAACGCCTACCACATAACCATAATGAGACAATGTTGCTTTTCACTGCAACACAACAAATGCAGATTCTATCTATAAAACTACACAGAGAATAATCATTTACAGGATCATAAAAAACAGCACAATAGGTTTTTATTGTTTACACCTCTAAATTTAAGTACTCTACATACCCCATAGGGACTAAAGTAGGCGTATGTTACCAATGAATGCTTTAATCTACAAGAACTACACTAGATTAATAATAATATTAAGGCATTGTATGATTTATGTCACATCCTACTGAAGTAAGGAACCTTCATTGCCACATCAGATTCGAGTATTAGGTTTTCATATCAAAGGACTCAATTGAGTAGATAGTATTGTCACATATGACTTGAGTATAACATTTTGTCACATTTGACTGATTTAAATTCAAATTTAGGATCTTGTCAATATTTGATTTAAGTATGGATTTCGTCACATTTGACTGATTCAGAGGATCTTATAATATGATTAAGGCATGGATTTTGTCACATTTGATTGATTTAAAGGATCTTGGGTCATGATTAAAGTCTGGATTATGTCACATATGATTGATTTAAAGGATCTTGCATCACAAATAAGGTCTGAATTTTGTCACATTTGACTGATTTAAAGGATCTTGTAATATGATTTAACAATGGATTTTGTCATGTTTGATTGAAATAAAGGATCTTGTGTCATGGTTAAAGTACGGATTTTGTCACATTTGACTGAATTAAAGGATCTCATATTATGATTTAACAATGGATTTTGTTACGTTTGATTGAATTAAAGGATCTTTTGTCATGGTTAAAGTATGGATTTTGTCACATTTGACTGAATTAAAGGATCTCGTATTATGATTTAACAATGGATTTTGTCACATTTGATTGATTTAATGGATCTTGTAATCTGCTGCTTGTAATATGATTTAACTATAAAGGACGATTCTCGGTTTGGAGAACGAAGTTCATCAATCTAAATGAGCATTATCCCTGCTTCGGACAAATTTGATTTTTTTACATAATAAAGATTTGAATGTCTTCTTTTGATTAGTCATAATTTAATTTGGGTAATATTTCTAGATTTTTCGCAAAAAAATATTAGCTCAGTACACTGATGGACTTCTTTCCCCGAATCGAGACTTGTATTTATATTGAATCGGTCTATTTGAGCATTATCCCTGCTTCAGACCAATTTGTTATCTTTACATCTTGTAGATTTAAATGTCCTCTTTTGAATATTCATAGTTTAATTTGGGTAATATTTCTATATTTTTCATGAAAAAAATTATTAGCCCAGGAGACTGTTCTCCAAACCGAGAATCGTCCTTTTGTCACGTTTGATTGATTTAATGGATCTTGTAATCTGCTGCTTGTAATATGATTTAACTATAAATTTTGTCACGTTTGATTGATTTAAAGGATCTTGTTATATAGTGATTTAAGAATGAATTTCGCAGCATTATAAAAGTTCAAGATCTTGGTAAAATGACTAAAACTTGGGATCTTCATGTAAACATGTAAACAAGAAATTAATGATTAAAGATATGTTATTGAATACTCACTGACCCTTATATTCCGTGTAAATGTCTACAAACCAATGTATGTACAAGATATTATTTCAAGGGTATTGCCAAACTCGAGGTACTAATTCCTGTATAATACATTTAAAAGGAATGAGCGAAACCTAATATACATATAATATAATATGTATACGGGATCAATATGAAATTACAATATTAAAAGAGGGAGGGGGACATTTGGGGCAAGGGTTAAGGCCTCAATGCATCTTTAATGAATAAATTAAAGGTGCAAGAAAGATCAGAGATGAGTCAAGAGTTATTTTCTAAAACTTTATCACAATTTTTACAATATTTTTTGATGATGAAGATTATTGAAATATGATTTTGAAAATATGAGTCTCCTTTTTAAATAGATTACATGGAAATAAATTTAAATTTCAATATTTTCTATCTTAAATGTTCAATATTGGATCAGATTTCAATTTTACACTCTCTATTTTTTACTGAATTACATCGAAATACTATACAATTAATAGACCTATTTTTATCTCCACAAATCGGGAATCTAGAAAATTCAATAAAAATTCCAATATATATTCTCACACTGAAAAATCACATGAACTTGATATCAATATGTCTTATTGAGATATCAAAGACATTAACTAAAATCGGAATCATTTTGATCACATACTCATTAATCAAATTGAATCAATATCTTCTAATTGTGAAAAATCTTTGATAACATTCCAGCGCACCTTGTCAAGAATTTATTTGATTCACAGTATATAACAGTTCTGATAATACACACGTAGATATTCTGTCATGGTGCTATTTATAAAAGTAAACATTTGTTTTAATAACACCTTGTACTTCATAATGATAGATAGGAGACTAGGTATATCTTGAAAATGTGTATTTATTAT